TGAAAAGTAGTTAATTACTTGGGGATAAGAAGAGAAATTAACCAGTGGTGAATTTCGTAATGGTCATTTATTTATAAAACACCACTGGGTTGCTGAGAACTGTTCCCACATTCAGTGAAATATTGAAGGTGGTAGATTGGGGTGGATGGTGGGTGAAATTGAAAACTTATTCCTATTGAGTAAATGTCCTTTGTATTCAACAGCAAAATCAAAAGTGAGAAGCTGGCAGCCTGCAATTGTAATCTGAGAACCTAATCCTTGATATCAGACAGACCAAATTAGGCATGACCTTTGACCTTATAATGGAACAGACTGCCCCATCTCATGGAAGAAACCATCCCGTCTGAATAAACAACACTTATACTCTGCATAAGTTACAATTTATACTTTCGTCCTGGAGGAAAATGACAGCTTAAGTAATATTGATAGACGGATGCCAAGTGATGACTTGAGACCTACATGACATGTAAGCACATAGGAGACGACGAATGCCAAGTGACGCCCCTAACACATTGTATGTGATCCTGGATACTACTGTGCTTTATGATTACCTCAAGACCTCTAACTTAAATTTGGAGATCCTCTTATATAATAGTTCCTTCAAGTGTTGCTCTTTAACCCTGGAACAGCTGGTGCCAAATTATACTCAACATAAACATGTACATGTATATACAACATGGGACCAAACGCTACAGTCTCTCAACTTGTCTTTAAGATGAAGAACCACAATTACTGACCATATAAAAACCAGAACCAGACAAATGACTAAACCTGACGCAAGTACTTTGACAAATTGATAAGGCTGTTGATAACAAAGGCTTGATAAAGTTTCACTTTTATTATATAATATAAGTTTGCCCTTTGGGAGTCAGTATCTCAGCTGGGAAAATTTTGCTCCAGGCCCTGTCGACGACACTTGGTATAGTGGGTAGCCAAGCCCCGTGGACATGGACACTCCGCCAATCAACTGGAACGCAGAGGGTTCCAAAAGGGGATGAAGCGATGCTTCATCTCGTAGCAGGGTGCTACGAAAAGGGGTTGAATTGACGGTGGAGAGATGAAAAGTAGTTAATTACTTGGGGATAAGAAGAGAAATTAACCAGTGGTGAATTTCGTAATGGTCATTTATTTATAAAACACCACTGGGTTGCTGAGAACTGTTCCCACATTCAGTGAAATATTGAAGGTGGTAGATTGGGGTGGATGGTGGGTGAAATTGAAAACTTATTCCTATTGAGTAAACGTCCTTTGTATTCAACAGCAAAATCAAAAGTGAGAAGCTGGCAGCCTGCAATTGTAATCTGAGAACCTAATCCTTGATATCAGACAGACCAAATTAGGCATGACCTTTGACCTTATAATGGAACAGACTGCCCCATCTCATGGAAGAAACCATCCCGTCTGAATAAACAACAATTATACTCTGCATAAGTTACAATTCATACTTTCGTCCTGGAGGAAAATGACAGCTTAAGTAATATTGATAGACGGATGCCAAGTGATGACTTGAGACCTACATGACATGTAAGCACATAGGAGACGACGAATGCCAAGTGACGCCCCTAACACATTGTATGTGATCCTGGATACTACTGTGCTTTATGATTACCTCAAGACCTCTAACTTAAATTTGGAGATCCTCTTATATAATAGTTCCTTCAAGTGTTGCTCTTTAACCCTGGAACAGCTGGTGCCAAATTATACTCAACATAAACATGTACATGTATATACAACATGGGACCAAACGCTACAGTCTCTCAACTTGTCTTTAAGATGAAGAAACACAATTACTGACCATATAAAAACCAGAACCAGACAAATGACTAAACCTGACGCAAGTACTTTGACAAATTGATAAGGCTGTTGATAACAAAGGCTTGATAAAGTTTCACTTTTATTATATAATATAAGTTTGCCCTTTGGGAGTCAGTATCTCAGCTGGGAAAATTTTGCTCCAGGCCCTGTCGACGACACTTGGTATAGTGGGTAGCCAAGCCCCGTGGACATGGACACTCCGCCAATCAACTGGAACGCAGAGGGTTCCAAAAGGGGATGAAGCGATGCTTCATCTCGTAGCAGGGTGCTACGAAAAGGGGTTGAATTGACGGTGGAGAGATGAAAAGTAGTTAATTACTTGGGGATAAGAAGAGAAATTAACCAGTGGTGAATTCGTAATGGTCATTTATTTATAAAACACCACTGGGTTGCTGAGAACTGTTCCCACATTCAGTGAAATATTGAAGGTGGTAGATTGGGGTGGATGGTGGGTGAAATTGAAAACTTATTCCTATTGAGTAAACGTCCTTTGTATTCAACAGCAAAATCAAAAGTGAGAAGCTGGCAGCCTGCAATTGTAATCTGAGAACCTAATCCTTGATATCAGACAGACCAAATTAGGCATGACCTTTGACCTTATAATGGAACAGACTGTCCCATCTCATGGAAGAAACCAGCCCGTCTGAATAAACAACACTTATACTCTGCATAAGTTACAATTTATACTTTCGTCCTGGAGGAAAATGACAGCTTAAGTAATATTGATAGACGGATGCCAAGTGATGACTTGAGACCTACATGACATGTAAGCACATAGGAGACGACGAATGCCAAGTGACGCCCCTAACACATTGTATGTGATCCTGGATACTACTGTGCTTTATGATTACCTCAAGACCTCTAACTTAAATTTGGAGATCCTCTTATATAATAGTTCCTTCAAGTGTTGCTCTTTAACCCTGGAACAGCTGGTGCCAAATTATACTCAACATAAACATGTACATGTATATACAACATGGGACCAAACGCTACAGTCTCTCAACTTGTCTTTAAGATGAAGAACCACAATTACTGACCATATAAAAACCAGAACCAGACAAATGACTAAACCTGACGCAAGTACTTTGACAAATTGATAAGGCTGTTGATAACAAAGGCTTGATAAAGTTTCACTTTTATTATATAATATAAGTTTGCCCTTTGGGAGTCAGTATCTCAGCTGGGAAAATTTTGCTCCAGGCCCTGTCGACGACACTTGGTATAGTGGGTAGCCAAGCCCCGTGGACATGGACACTCCGCCAATCAACTGGAACGCAGAGGGTTCCAAAAGGGGATGAAGCGATGCTTCATCTCGTAGCAGGGTGCTACGAAAAGGGGTTGAATTGACGGTGGAGAGATGAAAAGTAGTTAATTACTTGGGGATAAGAAGAGAAATTAACCAGTGGTGAATTTCGTAATGGTCATTTATTTATAAAACACCACTGGGTTGCTGAGAACTGTTCCCACATTCAGTGAAATATTGAAGGTGGTAGATTGGGGTGGATGGTGGGTGAAATTGAAAACTTATTCCTATTGAGTAAATGTCCTTTGTATTCAACAGCAAAATCAAAAGTGAGAAGCTGGCAGCCTGCAATTGTAATCTGAGAACCTAATCCTTGATATCAGACAGACCAAATTAGGCATGACCTTTGACCTTATAATGGAACAGACTGCCCCATCTCATGGAAGAAACCATCCCGTCTGAATAAACAACACTTATACTCTGCATAAGTTACAATTTATACTTTCGTCCTGGAGGAAAATGACAGCTTAAGTAATATTGATAGACGGATGCCAAGTGATGACTTGAGACCTACATGACATGTAAGCACATAGGAGACGACGAATGCCAAGTGACGCCCCTAACACATTGTATGTGATCCTGGATACTACTGTGCTTTATGATTACCTCAAGACCTCTAACTTAAATTTGGAGATCCTCTTATATAATAGTTCCTTCAAGTGTTGCTCTTTAACCCTGGAACAGCTGGTGCCAAATTATACTCAACATAAACATGTACATGTATATACAACATGGGACCAAACGCTACAGTCTCTCAACTTGTCTTTAAGATGAAGAACCACAATTACTGACCATATAAAAACCAGAACCAGACAAATGACTAAACCTGACGCAAGTACTTTGACAAATTGATAAGGCTGTTGATAACAAAGGCTTGATAAAGTTTCACTTTTATTATATAATATAAGTTTGCCCTTTGGGAGTCAGTATCTCAGCTGGGAAAATTTTGCTCCAGGCCCTGTCGACGACACTTGGTATAGTGGGTAGCCAAGCCCCGTGGACATGGACACTCCGCCAATCAACTGGAACGCAGAGGGTTCCAAAAGGGGATGAAGCGATGCTTCATCTCGTAGCAGGGTGCTACGAAAAGGGGTTGAATTGACGGTGGAGAGATGAAAAGTAGTTAATTACTTGGGGATAAGAAGAGAAATTAACCAGTGGTGAATTTCGTAATGGTCATTTATTTATAAAACACCACTGGGTTGCTGAGAACTGTTCCCACATTCAGTGAAATATTGAAGGTGGTAGATTGGGGTGGATGGTGGGTGAAATTGAAAACTTATTCCTATTGAGTAAACGTCCTTTGTATTCAACAGCAAAATCAAAAGTGAGAAGCTGGCAGCCTGCAATTGTAATCTGAGAACCTAATCCTTGATATCAGACAGACCAAATTAGGCATGACCTTTGACCTTATAATGGAACAGACTGCCCCATCTCATGGAAGAAACCATCCCGTCTGAATAAACAACACTTATACTCTGCATAAGTTACAATTTATACTTTCGTCCTGGAGGAAAATGACAGCTTAAGTAATATTGATAGACGGATGCCAAGTGATGACTTGAGACCTACATGACATGTAAGCACATAGGAGACGACGAATGCCAAGTGACGCCCCTAACACATTGTATGTGATCCTGGATACTACTGTGCTTTATGATTACCTCAAGACATAACTTAAATTTGGAGATCCTCTTATATAATAGTTCCTTCAAGTGTTGCTCTTTAACCCTGGAACAGCTGGTGCCAAATTATACTCAACATAAACATGTACATGTATATACAACATGGGACCAAACGCTACAGTCTCTCAACTTGTCTTTAAGATGAAGAAACACAATTACTGACCATATAAAAACCAGAACCAGACAAATGACTAAACCTGACGCAAGTACTTTGACAAATTGATAAGGCTGTTGATAACAAAGGCTTGATAAAGTTTCACTTTTATTATATAATATAAGTTTGCCCTTTGGGAGTCAGTATCTCAGCTGGGAAAATTTTGCTCCAGGCCCTGTCGACGACACTTGGTATAGTGGGTAGCCAAGCCCCGTGGACATGGACACTCCGCCAATCAACTGGAACGCAGAGGGTTCCAAAAGGGGATGAAGCGATGCTTCATCTCGTAGCAGGGTGCTACGAAAAGGGGTTGAATTGACGGTGGAGAGATGAAAAGTAGTTAATTACTTGGGGATAAGAAGAGAAATTAACCAGTGGTGAATTCGTAATGGTCATTTATTTATAAAACACCACTGGGTTGCTGAGAACTGTTCCCACATTCAGTGAAATATTGAAGGTGGTAGATTGGGGTGGATGGTGGGTGAAATTGAAAACTTATTCCTATTGAGTAAACGTCCTTTGTATTCAACAGCAAAATCAAAAGTGAGAAGCTGGCAGCCTGCAATTGTAATCTGAGAACCTAATCCTTGATATCAGACAGACCAAATTAGGCATGACCTTTGACCTTATAATGGAACAGACTGTCCCATCTCATGGAAGAAACCATCCCGTCTGAATAAACAACACTTATACTCTGCATAAGTTACAATTTATACTTTCGTCCTGGAGGAAAATGACAGCTTAAGTAATATTGATAGACGGATGCCAAGTGATGACTTGAGACCTACATGACATGTAAGCACATAGGAGACGACGAATGCCAAGTGACGCCCCTAACACATTGTATGTGATCCTGGATACTACTGTGCTTTATGATTACCTCAAGACCTCTAACTTAAATTTGGAGATCCTCTTATATAATAGTTCCTTCAAGTGTTGCTCTTTAACCCTGGAACAGCTGGTGCCAAATTATACTCAACATAAACATGTACATGTATATACAACATGGGACCAAACGCTACAGTCTCTCAACTTGTCTTTAAGATGAAGAACCACAATTACTGACCATATAAAAACCAGAACCAGACAAATGACTAAACCTGACGCAAGTACTTTGACAAATTGATAAGGCTGTTGATAACAAAGGCTTGATAAAGTTTCACTTTTATTATATAATATAAGTTTGCCCTTTGGGAGTCAGTATCTCAGCTGGGAAAATTTTGCTCCAGGCCCTGTCGACGACACTTGGTATAGTGGGTAGCCAAGCCCCGTGGACATGGACACTCCGCCAATCAACTGGAACGCAGAGGGTTCCAAAAGGGGATGAAGCGATGCTTCATCTCGTAGCAGGGTGCTACGAAAAGGGGTTGAATTGACGGTGGAGAGATGAAAAGTAGTTAATTACTTGGGGATAAGAAGAGAAATTAACCAGTGGTGAATTTCGTAATGGTCATTTATTTATAAAACACCACTGGGTTGCTGAGAACTGTTCCCACATTCAGTGAAATATTGAAGGTGGTAGATTGGGGTGGATGGTGGGTGAAATTGAAAACTTATTCCTATTGAGTAAACGTCCTTTGTATTCAACAGCAAAATCAAAAGTGAGAAGCTGGCAGCCTGCAATTGTAATCTGAGAACCTAATCCTTGATATCAGACAGACCAAATTAGGCATGACCTTTGACCTTATAATGGAACAGACTGCCCCATCTCATGGAAGAAACCATCCCGTCTGAATAAACAACACTTATACTCTGCATAAGTTACAATTTATACTTTCGTCCTGGAGGAAAATGACAGCTTAAGTAATATTGATAGACGGATGCCAAGTGATGACTTGAGACCTACATGACATGTAAGCACATAGGAGACGACGAATGCCAAGTGACGCCCCTAACACATTGTATGTGATCCTGGATACTACTGTGCTTTATGATTACCTCAAGACCTCTAACTTAAATTTGGAGATCCTCTTATATAATAGTTCCTTCAACTGTTGCTCTTTAACCCTGGAACAGCTGGTGCCAAATTATACTCAACATAAACATGTACATGTATATACAACATGGGACCAAACGCTACAGTCTCTCAACTTGTCTTTAAGATGAAGAACCACAATTACTGACCATATAAAAACCAGAACCAGACAAATGACTAAACCTGACGCAAGTACTTTGACAAATTGATAAGGCTGTTGATAACAAAGGCTTGATAAAGTTTCACTTTTATTATATAATATAAGTTTGCCCTTTGGGAGTCAGTATCTCAGCTGGGAAAATTTTGCTCCAGGCCATGTCGACGACACTTGGTATAGTGGGTAGCCAAGCCCCGTGGACATGGACACTCCGCCAATCAACTGGAACGCAGAGGGTTCCAAAAGGGGATGAAGCGATGCTTCATCTCGTAGCAGGGTGCTACGAAAAGGGGTTGAATTGACGGTGGAGAGATGAAAAGTAGTTAATTACTTGGGGATAAGAAGAGAAATTAACCAGTGGTGAATTTCGTAATGGTCCAAAGATCAGATGTGAAACAGCTGAGTGACCCCCAAGGAATTGAATAGGAAAGTGGTTGTAAGGGGATGGACTTAAAGTTTAACACCTTGGACACCTTCAATACTTCACTGATAATGAAAGATAGAAATAATAAAATATGTATTTAATCATATGAATCAGTTTTTAAAATAAAACAAACAGATACATGATATTTAAAATACTCAAATGTTTAATATCTACAGGTATGTATTGTACATGTGCAAATGTACACTATATGGTATAAAATAAGAATAAAAGCAAAAATTATTTTACACAGGATATGACGTAATGGATAGATACAAGAATCATGATGATAACTTTTGTTGTGCCTTTTTAATTACATTTTTACTAGTTCTAATATAGCGACAATAACTATTAGAATTCCATCTACCTAATGTTTTAATTAAGTGATCCTCAATATTAGATTTTCCAGCTGTTGTAGCAGCTCCAATTCGAAATGAATGTCCGTTAAAGGACTGAGGATTATATCCACAGATACCCAAAAGATGCTTTAACTTGCTGATGAAAAATTCTCTTTCTAGAGCTTTACCCGATTCGTCAATAAATAAAGCACTATTATTTTGAAATTTAAACATGGTTTTCCTTACAATCAAATAATCATGTAAAGCTTTAAATGGACAACAATCATGATTTAGCTTGTGAAGTTGAATATCAACACCCATCCTGAAAGGGTCAGTCTTAGACTGCTTTAAATGTAAAATAACATAGTCAGAATAAAACAAAGCATCAGATATACATAAATTGTTGTTACAATCAAATGATTTTGACCTGCGAATTGTAAACTCGCCACAGCGTAAGAAACCATAAAAAGCTACTGTAAAAGCAGTATATAACATCTGGTCAATAAAAGGTGAAAAAATTCCTTCTTTAAGCTTAACACATAAATGTTGAAGGATATCAAAAGTTATGGGTAAGCGATCTTTAATGATCGGTTTCTGTAATCTTTTAATAGAATTAAAAAACAAGGACAGTCTCTCTAAATTGTTACTAGAATTATTGAAAGGAGAACATATATTGTCCTTCAAGCATCTATGTCTAATTCCACATATGTATAGTTTAATTGTAGAGTACTGTAGTTTGAGATGTTGAAAGCAATGTGTAGCAAAATATATCAATAGATCTTCTGACACTGAATGAGGCTTGCTGTCAGGCCAAAATAAATAAATGGTGTGTTTCCGGTTTCCCGACCCTACCTCCGTTTCCGACGCCGACCCTAAACATTTTATTGACAAAAATAAAATAAAAATTCAAAATCCGGATTTGTCAGTCTGTCCGGATCCGATTATTCGTTTAGAATACTATAGATCTTCAAAGCGTTTGATAATAACCACCAATATTGATAAGTAAAGCGTTTCAAGGACCAAGATTTTAAATAAACAAGCATGGCTTTTCGGCAACCGTGTAGGGAAAACGGTACTATTTATTCTGCCATAGGCGACAATACTGACATTTTCTAAATTTACCACTTTTTATAATAAAAACTTGGATAAAACAGTTATGTGTGGTGTTAGAACTTTATTATTCTATTTTAAAAATTGAAGCCAAATAGTATCATGACCAATTTCCAACGGAGCTTGTTTATGTTATCCATGCCCACCGTCATTTTACACCAAATTTATGAAATTTTGGAAGCCTTTTCGAATAATTCTCTAGAAAATATTTCAATAGGTTTTAAAATTTATATTGTAAATATACACACTTCAGTTATACATAGATAAATAAAAAAATATATTGTACCCTTACATCCAATCACAGCGCTCCTAATTTGACTTCCTTCACCTGCCTTGGGTACACAAAAGGCCAACCTAATGCTGGGAAAATGTAATAGTACCGTTTTCACTGTAGCGTATTAGCTGTCAAATATGCGAAATGTGATCACATGCACGCAAAATATAATGACATCGAATCCGGATAATTACGATATGATGAATCTTTTTGAAGAACATCAAGCGGACCTATAGACGAAAAAAATACGAAGTTGACGCACTTTGTTCAACTTCTTTGAACAGCCTTTACAAGCGAGATTTTTTAAATATTTGTATATATAATGAAGTGTATTCAGTATATATACATATATTAACTAAATCTCGTCTTGTACCTGTGCTTCTTTGGACCCGCGGCAACAGTCAGAATCGTTTCAGGTTGGACAGACTGTAACTGTCGGTAAATTGACTAACAATTTTATAGTAAAAACTGCTAAAATCAATCCAGCTTTTGTTGTAAAACATGCTCTTACGAATGTTGTACAGAATTGTGCCCAGGACGCAACATAAACGGCTGTTAATGCTTTTTAGTTTATGATGGCAAGGGAACAGACAATGTGGAACGAGAAAGATGAAACTTCAGAAGCTTTCCCCAGTAGGCAGACATGGTGTATGATTCATATTCATTTATAAATGAATCTGCCCCAGCACCATGTCTACTTTTATTCTTTTTTATTTCTCTGGCTGGTCCCATAACAATTTATACAAGAAAAGGGAAAAAATCCTGTCATATTTACATCTGCAATTTATTTGACCAGTAGATTAATGAGGTACCTTCACGACGAATTGTCACGAAATGAATGGTATAGAATATTTGTTCCAACAGGAACAGATATTATGACATTGGTTATAACAAAGTTTCCAGTGGAACTTCTGTTAGGCAGAACAATCATATGTAGACAGAATAACGCTAAAAAATCTTGCCAAACGACGTTAACGGTAATTTTTGGTGCATGACGATGAAATGTACACTTTCTTTTAGACGGTAAAAAATCGACTGATTTTGACGAATCACGTAAAATTTTTTCCAAAAAAACGGTAACGATAATTATCTGAGACCTATAG